ACGTCGTTTAACAACTCATCAACTACCCCACCGTCAATGGCATCCATCGAAACTCACTTTGTATGGTTGTTTGAATTTTTTTTTACCAGAATTCCTTTTTTAGGATCGCGACATCCGACAGCCCGACAGGCCGGCTGCCGTGAAATCATTTGTCGCCACTTTGGGACCGCTTTCTACGTTTGAGTGGCATAGAACGCTAAACTCACCAGTCAAAGACACGTTCCAGGCACCATGCTATAAGTGATCCGTAACATAGCGCTAAGATGGTGCAATCATTGGTGGGACTCAAAAGAACAGTAGACATTCCACCACTGAAATAACTCGTATACGTCTGAACTCGTACACTTCATGTCGCCGAATTTTCCGAATTACCCAAGCATCAAGGAGAATGTAGGGAATGATGTTCCACGCGCTGCACGTGCACGCCTTCACCATACAAAAGATTCGAAGTAAATAACCAAAATGAAGCGTTGACGAACGCGCGTGCAGGATGACATTTGTTTTAGGCTGTTGCTTTAGAAGAGGTACTGCTGTGCAGACGCCAGCACCTGCGACGCATGGAACGTCATTCCCTCCATTCTCCTTGATGCTTCGGTAATATAGCAATGGGTCTATAGACCTATTGCTAAATTACTCAAGCATCAAGGAGAATGCAAGGAATTGTGTTCCACGCGCGAAACGCACCCGCCTTGTCCGTATAGATTCAAAGTAAATAACCAAAAAACCAAAATAAAGCGTTGACGACCGTGCGCGCAAGATGCCATTTGTTTTAGGTTACTACTGCTGAGGCCAGCACGTGCGGCGCGTGGAACACCGATCCCTGCATTCTCCTTGATGCCTGGGTAATATAGCAATAGGTATATAGACCTATTCCTAAATTACTCAAGCATCAAAAAGAATGCAAGGAATTGTGTTCCACGCGCCAAACGCACACGCCTTGCCCTTATAAAAGATTCAAAGTAAATAACCAAAAGACCAAAATAAAGCGTTGACAAACGTGCGTGCAAGATGCCATTTGTTCTAGATATTTGATTTAGAAAGGTTACTAATGTGAGGCCAGCACGTGCGGCGCGTGGAACACCAATCCCTGCATTCTCCTTGATGTTTGGATAATTTAGCAATAGGTCTATTGGCGATGTGAGCGATCGAAAGTGTCGCTGTTTAACGATTGACTGAATGCTTACTATGGCCTCAGATGAATGGATTTCTCATGGATAGAAATAAGAGTAATGTAAGAACTTCACTCTTGGCGGTGTTGGCAGGGGGGGGTTTCAGAGCGCAATGATTTCTAACTTTATGTTTGCAAGGTAATGACGTTACGAGACGGAACGATACGAGGGCGCCATCAAAACATCTCGCCTCCAATAGGGAGCCGGAAGGTTTCCTACCCTTGATGACCCTTCGGCGTCTCGTGCACCTTCGAGAATGCACGGTCATCCAAAGCACGACGGAAGGCAACAAGCGCCTGCTGGACACCGGACATCCGAAAGAGACACCCTACCGCCCACATCCTGTCAGGGGCTGCATATAATAAAGACAAGGACAGAAACCTCTTTGGGAGCGCCTCACAACACGAATCCACAGTCTCGCAATGCGCTTGTCCTTTTATCCCGCCTCACCGAGCACGAAATCTCGCTAATAAAAGGGACAGCAGCATTTTCGCCACCGAGACTGCGGACCCGGGTGTTCAATTTTTAACTCCAAGAGATTTTTTTTTTTCTTAATGTATCTGTCAAAGGTGCGTTTATGCGGTTGGTGAAGATCAGTTATACGGCCGAGGGAACGTAATATAGGAGGTTCTTCCTCACCTTACGTCGGAAAATTGAACTAAAATTTGTTAATTAATGTTTAGTTTGTGGAAATAAAAACATGGTTAAAATCATGAAAATGCTCGTTGTCATAAAAAAAACACCGAATTAGTCAATGTTGGACTTAAGGCACGTGGGAAGCTTCGGGGTGCGCTAAAGCTACCACTCGTGCAACAGGCTAGTGGTGGGAAAAAGTGCATGATAAGTTGATAACCTAATTCACGTTTTCCGCTAGCCTCCTACTTGTTGCATCTACGAGTGGTAATTAACTTAAGAGCACTCCAGACCTTTCCACGTGCTTCAAGTACATCTCAAATTGACTGATGTATTATTTTTGTTTTTTTCTGACAATCAGCAGGTTTCTAATAATAACCATACGTTTATTTCCACTAATAAAAATTAATTAACGAATTTTAGTTGATTACCCGACGGAAGATTAGGGAGGGGAAAGGCCTATATTAAGTCTTCCTGGCCGTATATTTCACCTGCCCAAAGCGCATCGGGTACCTTTCCCAGATTTCTTACAAGACAGACAGACAAGTAACTTCATTGGGGTTTTGAGAAGTGCCGCGCTTAGAGCAGCACCGCGGGCCTTTCTTACGAGAAATATACCTATATGAATTAGAATCGAACTGTCTGTACAGCCACCGACACGATGAGAAGGGTAAGGCGTCTCCTTCGAATGGCCGACCTACTGCAAAAGCTCGTTGCGAAAGAATAAAACACATAGGGATGAACACACACAGACCGGACAGTTCTTTCAATTAGCAACCGACATTTATGATGCCTCCTCAATGGGTCAGCGCTCCTCTAACCCAACCCTCCGATAAAAGAGGAAGAAATCCGCAAAAAACAGAGAAAATAAACCCGTTGAAAAAAGGAAAAAGAAAAACACCAAGATACTCAAATTAAATTTAAAATAGAAAAAGGGGATTTTTATTTCTCCTAGAAAGAGAAGAATAAAACACCGCCGGAAAAGCAAAGAAGAGCACTGAACCAGCTTGTGCTCACCGCTCCAACTCCTCTCTCAGAAACTAGCCTCTGCCTTGGTTAACCTAAGGGTGGGTGAGAGTCCGTGAGACATAGTTCAAATCATCCCAGGCAATTCTAAATGACTCAATAATTTATCGTACTAGTCTGTCCTTGTGTCTCCCGATGACTCGCGTAGCATGGGAGTCCGGCTTATAATTCGAACGAATGCGGTTGTGCTCCATAATGAGATGAAGAGAGTCACTGCACGTGTCACCTCGAGGAAGTGCTTATGGAGGCGAGTGTTGACGCACCTACCGTTATGTCCGACGTACCTATCCCCGCAGGTAGAAGGAATACGGTACACCAACCACTTTTCGTCGCACGGGACAAATGGGTTGGCACGCTGGATGGAGCAGACTTTAGGGACACTGTTGTCATTTACCTTTTGGCAAAGTTGTTTTAAGCGTGTCTTGCACGAGAACACAACGGAAGTATCATACCGCGCTGCGATGGTCTTCAAGTGGTGAGAGGTGTTATGGACATAGGGTATAGTAACTACCTGAGAAGTCCTTCTTCTGAAGAAACCGAGAGCTCGCGGAACCTAAATTTAGCCAAATGAGAGTGGTCGAAAGAAGATATTTAGGGTATCCACCCTTGAGGAGGCGTTCTTGCTGTGTTGAGAAGCTGAACTCTAGAAGGTGGACACATGTCTCAGCACGGGAGGACAGAAAGAGGGACCGGACAATACCATGCTTAACCATTTTAGAGTGCGAACTACAGAAAGGAAGTACTGGTTTTTTAGAATGTTGTTGGAAAGCCCAACATGAACCAGAAGGTAGAAGATGTAGACGAAGATCTAGGTACTGCTAGGGTGCCTACATGTCTGTCTGTCTCAGGGTGAAGACATCTATTGTTGCACTGAATGTGCCAGCGTGTGACGCTCTGGCGCGCTCGGTGCGTGACTTGGGCGGTAAAATGGCGTCTCTGCATTAGCAAAAGCTACGCGTTCGAGCTGAGTGACACCGGATGGCGCACACTTCAAAATGCTTAAAATAACGATTGGGCGGAAAAATGGCTGAGATGTCATCACTCAAGCAAAAGCGCGCGTGTGTATGAAGGCACTCTAGGTACTGCAGTGCTTCGTGCGTGGGATCTTCCCTTGTACATTTGAGACCTGACAAAGAGGAAATAAACGCGTCCACAATACAACTAGAATAAACCGAATTTGGGTGAATAATTAGGTAATCATCCACTTACCAAAAAACATGGCAATCCATGGTGAAATCCTCAAGGCGTGTTTCGATCTCACGATCAACGCACAAGAGAAAAATTTCGCTGAAGATTAATGCGAGACAGGACCCAATTCAAACGCCTTTCTTTTGCCTGAAAACTCTCCCCTCGTGCTCAACAATCGTTGATTTGAGGTAAAGGATGAAAAGATCCCAAAAACCTTATCAGAGATGCCCGAGGAGTTGGGAAAATCGCAGGTGTCATGCTCATGGATGGCATTCGAGACTGATTCCATGAGGAAAGAAGGATCCCAACGATAATAAAGCTCCTGAATGTCTAGCGAAACCGTTGAGTACGAAGCAGTAGTCGAATGGAGGATGCGGAGACCAGAAATTAAATCTAAAAAATTGGCAACCCGAAAGGCTTGGGAAAGGCTAAGCGACAAAAGATGCTTTTGCAGGTAGCTAGCCAGGGGTTTCTGCCGGCAACCCTCTCGGAGATAATGCGTTTTAGAGGGACACCCTCTTTGTGCGTTTTCGCCGTAAAAAATGCCTTGCGGTGCAGCTTGGCTGGAACCCCAATCGCCATCTTAAGGGCGAGAAGATTCAGGGACTGGCACAGGTTTTTCACTTGTGAACGGAGGGAACCTGAAGGCCTAACCTTGAGTGACTCAAAATTCTTCTCTAAGGCCTTAGCAACGTTCTCTGCAAAGGAGCCCTCTTCCAAGACAACAAAAACGCCAGTTTTATCTGACTCAAGAAGTTTCAAGCCACCTTGATTTGCCGCCGTGCTTTGGACGAGACGCTGAAGCGTCATGGAATGTACGAATCTCGCCCTGGACGCGGTGCCGTTCTCATTCTAATGGTGACCATGACCTTCAAGATTATGGTGACCGCCGTTACAGTGCGTGTGAGTTACGTTTAATTCAGGATGGCGCACGATAGACGAGTTTAAAATTGTGTCTGAAACCTTCCTTTTGTTCTTTTCCAGATGGTAAAGCGAAGGATGACCTACGTTTCACGAGCGTCAACGTTCTTCCAAATTCAAGATGCAAGCAAAAATTTCGTACCATCGGTTATTCCAGGAGAATAATGTACTGCGCCTACCGGAAAGACACTGATGCCTGTCAGGTAGATATATTTTCATTTGAGCTTGTTGAGTTCTACTTCCGTTTTATGGGCACGTTCAATGGATACGGAAACAAAATGACGTGGCCGCGAGCTCTCCACATCTCGCTTCTAAATCGACCAGCGAGAAGCGCAATGCGTGTCGCGTTCGTGACGTCAAGGGCCTCTGCACGGCCAAGGGTACTTTATTTGAGAGCATTGCAGCTTGGTGGCGTCAACGCGTGCCAATCTCGCCTAGTAGAAATATCCAAGGACTTTATGCCCTATATGGCCTTATGGGAAGGAGATCGAGGAGTGGCGCTTCATAGCGGCCACCTCGGGAGCTAACGCTGTGTTGCAAACAAGCCCTTCGACCGCAGTCATTAGTGCATTCGCTGGCACAGAAGAGCACGACGCAAGGCTCGTGAAAGATGTGCAACATTATTATTTTCTCCTAAACGCATCTAGATAGGAGTACTCCACTTCCCTCTTTAGCTTCCAATGTCATTGAAGTCCTCTTGGAAGGCAAAGCAAGCGCATGTGTGGTCCCGCGCGGGCGTGCCGGGCCAACACCGTCGTGTCGGCCGCGCGCGCGATGGATTATGCGTGGACGGCGGGGCGTTCGTGTTTTCTCTGAATCACTCACAACACGCACTTCACTTTTCAGTTACCCTGTCTCTTGCGACAATCATAGATGACAACGGTAAAAGCAAGCGGTGTCTCGTTGAAGGAGAGGACGTGTTAAACTGCGATCATGTCGTCGAGTGCAGCGTTGCTGTAGAGCCGACGGCGGACAGTATCCGCATCATCGCGTACGTCCTGCAGTCCTACGCGCTGCATATACCCGGTTCAAAAGCATGCTTCGAGCACTGCGGTATGCAGCAAGTGCGCACCATATCGCTACAAACAAATATGCAGCGAGCGTGGAAACGATGCGGCGTATACGCAAAGCGAGTGCCTAGCGTATACGCTAGGCACTCAGCGATTGCTTGTGGTGATGATGGTGATAATGAAACCGCGCCCCTATAGTTCGATCTCCTCGCCAATACTAGAGTGAATTTTACCTATACATAGCTTGCTCGTAACGTCATTCGCGGCCATGACGGCATTTTAAGTGCCGTAGGCGTTCGGTTCACCGTGTTAGTTTCACACCGCAGAAGTAAGAGCTTTAGAAAATGAACCAGTAAGTAGAAATAACCGTCAGTACCCAGCAATAGCGACACCTGCAAGCTATATAAGGTATTCACTGGGTGTCATTTTTGAGCGTGTTATTCAGAGCGCATCCGGAAAGGGGGAGGGGAAGGGGGATGGCTGGCCTGGCAGAGGTCCCCGCATTATCAGATCAAGTTCCTAACTATCGTCTGCTAAGGTTAGGTGATTTTGATGGTGCGGAATTTACTTTTCAGAAACACTATGCATTTCTTTGCCAAGTTTAGCGATTGTGTTAAAGGGACACTGACAGGGTATTTATGCTCGCCAAGGTTTTTAGTTGTACGTGACATATGAGAGCTCAACTACCCAGAACAGAATTTGCGGCTCGAAATTCGGTTTCTTTCCGCCCGAAAACCGCCGATCAAAAACTGACCGGTCCGAGTCTCGCTCACTCTCTTTTTCGCGGTCACGGGCCATTTTCTAAGGTATCGATGCGACCACCAAATTTAATCAAAGTCGTGGGTCACTGAAGGCACACACTCAATATTAAAAATAGAAAAAAATATGAAACCCATTTTTTGTGGCTTCTAAAAAGCTGTAAATACGTTGATTGAAAAAAAAAGTTCCACAGACAACCGGAAGCATTCTGTGCGTTCGTCGTTTCGCGTATCAAGGGACTCGCGGGGACGGCGATGGCAGCGGACGACGGGCGTGGGACCTCTATTTCAGAACTGTCGTTTGCGGTACCGGCGAATTCTGTCTACCGTTAAAAGAGAAATGTGGGATTGATAAAAAGAATTGGTATTCATCCCGCACGACACGCCCGGCCACCAAGCCGATTTGCACGAAGACGTCGCCGAGCCGTCGCTCCCTTCTCGTGGCTGAAGACATCGCTCGCGCAAACGTCAAGCACGACGTGTCTACTTCGAGTTGAATATGCGCGCGTACGATTTCTTTACTAGGTGGGAATGTCCCCAAAGCGTGGTGCTTCCCGACTTCGACCTGGGAGTGCTTTTGCTAGAGAAAAATCGAAAGCAAACTTTCCAACTTACAGTTTACCGGCTGAATTATTACTAAGGAAAGAGATCCACCACAAAAGAGATGCCCCAGTAGCTCAGTGGGAAAGACGTCCAGATCACGCGCGGTAGGACCGGGTTCAATCTCCCGTGAAACTTACTTTTTTTTTTTTTTCAAACATTTTCTGATGTTTACATATCTTTTTATTTTTTTTTTTATTTACAATCATCACTGAAAAAACAAACAAAAAAATAACAAACAAATGTTGTGGACGATACTTCGCTGAATTAAATGGTATGGGATTTCCGTTTTGACACCTGCGAACTCAATGTAATCACTTTCCGCAAAAAAGAAGGAGCATATAAATCAGGTAGCGTCCGCTTTCCGAGGTGCCCGTAAATGGTCTACAGGAATTGCAGCCAGCCATTGGTCCCGATACCGTTGATCTTTCGGAAACTCTGTCGCACAATGCCACTTTTTTTCGGATGCAGGACATGTGAGCCAGCTCTTCACGCAACATCTTGGGTGTATTCTTTTCGGAGCCGAGGCACTCACTACTCATCTCCAACTCCTCAATGTACAAAACAACTCATCTTGGAGTACAGAACAACGAGCGGAACAAACATAACTGCAAAAGAATCGCACGGCGAGCAGTTCCCGCACGCCGCATCGCACGCCGCATGTCGTGTCGTCTGCTACGGAAAGGAGAAAAAAAAAAAAAAAAACCGCACGGTCGGGTGTAGCCACGTGACTTCCGCCACTCACTCTCTTCTCTCCACTTCTCCGACCTCCGTCGGGTTTCGGTTTCGGTTTCGAGCAGTTGCGTCTTTTGGCTTTATTAAAAAAATACGCTACTCTGTTGCAAAATATTAATTGGATAGTCCTCCGACACCATAATAAAGCGCCTGGTAAAAAATAAAAAAAAATTGTGGGGGGGTGTCAGTTGTATCGACCGAGTTGTCGATACAATTGCGCGGAGAATGAATAACGTTCGGTAATGCGTAGTTTATTTTTGCGGTGAAAAAAGCGCCTACGAATTCTCCTGAACACCCTGTATTTTAACGGGCCCATACAATAGCCCTAAGAAGACGTTCGTGAGTTTACTTTCTTGTAAAATAAAGTGCACCAATCACGGCGAACAGTAAAAGGATCCCAGAGAATGACGATGCACAAAATACTATTAGATTTTAAAAAATTAACAGGTGAAGCGTCATGCTCAGTGCCCCTGCCTATATTGCATTTTGAAGATCTAGACACATTCTGATCTCTGTGATTCGCTGGGGTTCTTCGACTGTTCGCTTTGACTGGCCGCATCTGCGTTCTACAGGAAAATAAACTCACAGGCGTTGTTGTTGTTTTTTCAAGTGAGAAGTACTCAAGTTCCATACGACCAACTTTTATCAAAAGTGCAAAACTTACTGTAAAAAAAAAGTGGACAGTTTGTTTTGCAAGATGATCAAATTCAAACAGGAACGAGAGTTCCGTCAATCCAAAAACTTTCGCTTATTGCAGCGAGGGGAAAATTTTGGATCTCCAAATCCTCGGAGGCTAAACGCGAATTCCCCAACAAAATTAGCTGAATCATCATGGCCAAAACTATCGTTATCTTCCGCTTACCTTGTCCCCCCTCTAAAGCATACATTCACGTCCGCATTTAAAAGGAAAGTATGTGGATTTACTCTCCGGCAAAAACCACGCACGCAGTTAATTACTGCGAGCAACGGCGACATATCCTGGATATCAACTAAGGTGGAGATTTCGGCCAGTTGGCCCATAGCTAAAAACAGAGCCGAAATAGCATGAGGACCAAGGCAGTCTTGAACACGTCACTCGGAAAAGCTAATCGTTTACAATTAGAATTACTCTTGCTTTAATAGTATTCAGATATTCGATTAAAGTATTCACTTGATTACGATTAAGAAGAGAGGTAATTTAACCGTTAATAGAAAAAGTATCCGTTACTTTACCGACTACTTCAGATTTTTTTAAGCGACAGCTTTCTCTGTCAGTTTGAAAAAGGGTCTTTCGTATTGTCTATTATTAAATTGGGATCACCAAATTATACTTATCTTACCAATCGACCAATTTTGGCAAACCTCATTCCTGTCTGAGATTTGGTTCCAGGATTCCTTCTTAAGAAACTTGTAGAAACAAATGGCGTCATTAAAAGGGGGAGAGAAAATAGTCACGGTTACGAGTAATTTTAGTACTTCCAAAATTAATCAGATTACTCTTGTGATTACTACCTCCTAAAAGAAATCAAATGATTACAAAATTACTCCAAAAGGTAATCAAAACATCACAAAATTACTCAAAAGAGTAATCAAATAATTACAAAGTTACTCCAAAGAGTAATTGATTACTAGTACAAGTTGATCATTCTTAATGAGTAAGATACAAGATCCGCACTAATGCAATCTCGTCGTCTCGTCTCCTTACTCATGGATTTTTTTCCTGTCATCTACCGGACGTTAACGTGGGGCGCTGATTGGTCACGAGTAGAACGTCATCGTTCGGCCGGTGCTCCAGTCCAATCACTAAGAACGGTGCCGGCATCTGGGAGTTGACGTACCAAATGCAGCCCTACGGACGGATCTTAGGCGATTAACGATTCTCAGAACACGAAAATAACTACGATGAGCGTGGGGAGAATGACCATGACGTTTCACTCGCTCGCGTGCGCCTGCGCGCATTGTATTTTTCGTGTTTAATACACGGCTGGCACGAGACGTTATTGCACATGCATGCTGGTGGTCATTCCTACGTTTTCTTACCTAAAAGAAACAAATTCAGTTATAAAAAAATTGGTTCGACGATCAATGGGATTCATTCGATGGAAATGCGTTAACATTTCC